ATGTGATTTCCAGAACTCTAACCAGTGTTCTTTTTCAGTCTCTGAGATAGAGTTATTTTGGGATTATTGACTGTGTGAAACCGTACTATGCTTACCAGAGTGCTCTCCCTTGTTTTCCAGTTTGCTGGAAAATTCTGTCCTTGCGCTAAGAAAGCTGACTCCTGTTTCCAGCGAGACTGCACGCCTTGGAGATGGCCTCCGTGTCAGGTGAGTCCCCACAGTCACTCTGTGCCAGCAACACTCTGGCTAACCCTCTGCTTTCTTGCTTTGCCAAAATCCAGCCAGACCTGCCATCGTTTCCACCTGTGTTTTTCAAGAATGTGAGTGGTTTTTGGTGCTCTGCTTTCAAATATTCTGGCTCACAGTCGTTGAGTGATGGCTGAAGATGACAGATTTGTCTGCATGGCTGTCAGTCCATGGTGTTTCCTCTCCTTTCCGTGTTTTTCAGGCACTTTTGCGAGTCGGAGCATACCAGTTGAAGTGGATGAATCGGTGATGTGGTCCCCATTTGTCGAACGTGCCTTGGAAGAGGCTTCACACTCTTCTGGAGAGCACATGGAGAACGAGGAGCGCCAGGAGCCTCGAGCCTGGGTGCCGCAGCCCGACACCGGGCCGTCGTGTCTCCAAGGATCAGCACAACGTCACCCCCCTGCACTGCCTGATGTAGGAGCCTTGGAGCTGGACAGCAGGCTGTGGTCCAAATACACAGATCCCGATGAAGACGGGCACTTCTCTTCCCCTGGGGAATCAATCGTTGGGATAGTTCCCTCCAGGGCGCATCTTTTAGCTGTGGAAAAAGCAGGTGCGCATCTGAGATCTCAGCTTTCAGCTGACACTGGGCACAATTCCAGTACATCGAGCAAGAGCTTGTCTGACATTGTGGAGGACTCGCTCGAGGGCAGCAGCCAAGGGAGCTCACAGCCCCAGCAACCCTCCGAAAACAGACTGCCAGCAGAGCTGGCGCCTGTGGACACGGGATGCAATTCCCAGGCACGAGACATCATGGGCATCAGGCACTTGGAGCCGCCCTTACCTCTGGTGTCTGTGCTGAACCCCCAGGACCTCCCGGGACCCCTGATCTCCAGAGAGTTTTTTGGACCTGAGCACCAGCAGTATCCTCTGTGCCAGCACTCGCCCCATCCCAATGTTTCTTCCCAAGTTCACGGCTGCTTCGGGCACCACTGCCCCATGGAGCAACACCCACAGCACCCATGTAAGTGACACTGCTTACCCCCACGCGGGGTTTTCCTGGGATGTCTCTGCCATCATTCACCATGCTGGCATTTTCCTGCTGCACCTCCTTCACAGTGTGCAATTATTAGCATTTCAAAATATTTATTTGCAAATATTATGCGATATTGCAATTCCCAGTATTTTTTTTTATAATTCCAGAATTAAGGGCCTTGCTGATGCAGAACCTCGGAGCCAGATCAGAGGTTAAAGAGCTCACAGTTACTCAGCAGATGAAGGCTAATGTTTTTGCCTAGAAACTCTGTATTTTCAGTCCCACACTGAGCATACGCAGCCTTCTCCTGCTGTTATTTCATATTCTAGTCATTTCCTTCCTCCTTGCCTCAGTCATTCAGCAGCCTCCTAGACTGATTGAATTCCTGTTGTTTTCATAGGTTTTCTTGCTCCCACTTGGATCTCCAAAGAAAGTTGAGCATTTCCTGCCAAAAACAGGATGGATAGCTACCTTTGATCTCTGTAAATAGTATCTACCCACATTATGACCGAACTAATCCATGTATTTTATTTCTACTTGAGAAAAAAAAAAAGAAGAAAGGAAAGCATGACATCCATCACCCGCATTTTTTCTCGTCTTAGCTGAAATGAAAGCTCCTTGCTTAAAATGGACACCTCCCAGCTGCTGGTGACCGTGTCCCCGAGCGCTGATGTGACTCGGTCAATAGGAGCGTTTTTGGCTCTTGGAGCCCATGAAGCAGTTTACAGCCTGCTATTAATTAGTATTCCTTTTCAGTTGCAGAGATTTTTATCTGTTATGAAGTGAGCTTTGAACATTCAGCGGAATATCATTGTTTTTAATAAAATTCATATTACATGAGACTCAGGGGGCCCCCAGACAGTTTGGGGCTCGCTTTGTAATAAAAAGCTGCAGGCCTGTTCTGAAGGCCTTTTATTTTTCTAACCTTCTGCGGGCACCACAGCATTTATACTGCATCTGCTTAAAGGGTTTCGCCGTGCCCGCCGTGTGCTGTGAGTAGGTTTAAGACAGTCAGAGTATCAGAGCCTTGGCGGTCGCCTCTGACCTTGGGGATCCTTGTGCTGGGGAAGGGGATCCTTGTGCTGAGCGCGCACGGAGGGTCCCCCTGCTCCCGCACCAGCCTCCGCGCGGCAGCCTGGGCCGAGCTCTGCGCAGAGGAGCAGCTGCCTGCGCGGTGCCACCCGTCACTATCCGCCTCCTCCGCACGCAGGCGCCGGGGGGAACGGGGCGCCCACAGAACGAGCTTTGTTTTAAAGCGGACGCTCTGAGGGGCTCTCTTTAGAAAAAGTCCATAGTGTTCCAAGCACATCCAGAGGGCAAAGAGAATGCCAGAAACTCAGATGGCTGGAGCAGATGTGGCCAGGACCAAGGAGCTGGCAGCCGCCCTCCTGTTTCTCACGTGCCGGGTGCTGCCCAGATCCCCTGCTGGCAGCAGCTTGTGTTTCAGCGCATTGCTCTGCTGGCGCAAGGCCGGGCAGATAACCCGGCCTTGTACCTGGTCACGGTGGTTGCGTCTACTAAATGCTACAGCATCACACACACCCCCAAGCAGCAGCCAGCCTAAAAACCCTTAAGCCAAACTGCATCCTCCCATCCTGGCAGTTTTCCTAGGCCTGGGCCTGAGGAACACCATCAATGGCCATCTTTGTGTTCAACCCGTCCAGTTACAAATAGCTGATAGGGAGGGGAAGAAAAATCTCCTACAACAATCTCAACAAACAGGAGGCTGCCTACACCCTTTAAACCTCTGCCTCCTGGATTTGCATGATTGCATTAAAGCTTTTCTTTTTACCTTTTTACTTAAAAAAAAATGTCCTCGTGGCTGCTAGGAAAAGGAAAATATGCCCCCAAAGTAGCTAAAATGATTTTTAAAAAGCAAACTGTGGGAAAAAAAAAAAGAGTGTTTGAGTATTGCCGCATTTGGAGCCAGCTCCTAGCGCCATAACCAGCAGTGCTCAGGCTGGAAAGCCCTGCCAGGCTGGACTTTGATCTCTGCACAACAGCTTGCGAGCAAGCAGAGCTGCCGCCTGATGAAAACTGCAAGCAGAAACACTGGGGAAAAGAGTTTTCCCTCCCTGGGAAAGCAGCAGCCCAGGCTGCCTCCTCTTTCAGCGAATTCCTCCGTGCCTTAGCTGATAAACAGCACGGCGATGCCGATGACAGCAACATTTTTCAGAGGTGCTTCAGCTAAACTCTCACATTGGGCACCAGCACCAGCAGCAGGGCCTTAAAAGGTCACCTAGGCAGAAAATCCGAGCAGAGGGAAGTCACAAACCAAGTTTTTTTTTTTTTTCTCTTTTCATTTGCAGTAATCTCCGTCTGTTTAGCCTTGGTGTTGCAAACTGATTCGTTCCAGGTTTTTTCATCTGCTTTCATGAGAATGTTAGGATGATTCATTTTCTCGAGTTATTGCCAAAAAAGAAATTAAAAAAAAAAAAAAAAACAAGGCATGCTAAGTGCGGGGACAAAGCAGCCCTCAGTATTTAACTGTCAGTTGTCCCAGCAGCCCAACCCACAGTGGGAAGCTGAACCATATCATCTGCGAAAGGGAAATAGGAAACTTCAGGCTGTAAAACCTTTCCTTAATCTTGTTTCTTTCAAGCTGAGCACCCTGCACATGCCTCCGAACTGCTGCAGCCTCCCTAGAAATAAAGGAGGACGTGCCTGGAAACTGCTAAGCCTAAACTGAGGCAAAAACGTACTGGCCGAGCTGATGGCTGCTGCTCTGCTTCTCTCGCCCTCGCAGGTGGCAGGAGCCCCTACCCACATGGTGCCCGCGTGTCCCAGCCGCTGCCTCCCGTGCCGGGGCCGTGTGTGAGGGTCATCCGTCCAGCCCAGCAGCTCGTCCCCAATTACTCCGGCCTCCGGGCCCCGCGGCCCTGCTCCTCCCCGGCTCCTCCGCCATTTCCGTAAGTTGGGCCCGCTGGAAGCTCCTAGGTAATGTTGCGGGGGGATTACCCAGGAATTCTGAAGCTTTTGCAATGTCACTGTACCTGGCTTGCTGAGGGATATGCCAAATACCGGCTTGTTTTATTTATTTGCTGTTTCACACGCAGCAGGCGCCTGACCTTACCCCAAGGAACTTGAAAGTTGGTTACCTGATATGTTGTTGCAGCGCGCTCTGAAACGCGCGCGTTAAGAGAGACAGATACTCAAAGGTTAAAGGGATGAGGGTTGAAAAATATCTCAGCTGAAACCTTAGAGCTGCCCTGCGGAGAGCCCAGGCCGGCTGGGCGCTGCGCTCGGTCCCTGGCCTCGCGGCCGAGCCTCCTCGCACCGCTCTGTTACCAGCGCTCCGGGATTTCCTCCTCATCTCTCCCACCAGGATCCCGCCTTGGCTGCTGTATCTCTGTGCTGCAGCCTGCGGCGCTCCCTGGGATCGCTCACGGAGCGACAGAGCGCCCCGTGCCCCGCTCGGCTCGGCTGGGGCTGCCCCTGCTTTTCCCAGGTTAATTGGCCAGGCCTCCTACCTGCTCCCCGATAAAGGCAGGTCATTCACAGATGGGGGGTGTTGCCTGTGCAGGGCTCACTCTGCACTCGGCTGCCTCAAGTCAGGCTGAAGCTGCAGGTGTTCAGCACATCTGAAAAGGTGGCTGTTTTACTGGAGTGCCAAAATATTTGCAAAGGGGATAAACCTAGAGGCATCTGTGTTTGCAAGTGTTCACGCAAGTGACACAGCCCTGGCAGCAAATGGAGGCAACAGGCAGAACCAGCAACATAAGGGGGCAGCTGACAGCAACATTGCGCTCCCCTGGCCCCAAAATTTATGGTTTGTAACAGAAAAATAGGATGAAGATAAGGCAGTAGCTGCAGCAGAGCTGGTTATGCTGAGGAGTTAGTTTGAAGGTGTAGAAACACTGAGGAACCATTGGTATCCCAAGAATTAGTAAAATTCAAAATAGGCCTCTTAATTTTTGACATTTGTTGCATCAGGTGACATTTTGGGAAGATCTGTAAACAAACCACCGGGTAATTTTGGGGTGTTTGATGAGGTGTGGGTTGCTTTTCTTGGTACTTTGCTCCTCTAAATGACCTTCACAGTAACCAGGGCCTGTCCTGCAGCTGGGGTACTGGTGTTCGCATGCTGCTTCCAGGAACAGCAGTTAAATGTTGGTAATATTTGCCTATAGAGTATTTTGTAACAAAAAACATCTGTACCAAAATGAAGAAACCAAATCTTAATGTGACAACAGAAAACATGCTGTGACCAGCCTGTCATCATTCATTTAAGAAAGGCAAAGGAAAAAAGAGAGGGGGCTTCATTGACTAAGCATCACTGCTCTGTGGGGAAAAGCTTCCAGGGAAACCCAACCCTTGGCCTGAGGTTCAGCCCAACAGATTCAGATCACACCTCATTGAAAAGTCTCTATAAATTGCCCTTCTTATTGGCTCACACTGTGAAGCCAAAGCAGGCTAAGAACAGAACTGCTGAGCTTCCTAAAACCATCCCTTTCTCTGGGTTTGTCTTGAAGGGAGAACAGATATTATGCAAGGTTTCTGCAGGTCCTGGATGTAGATCCCTACGATGGGAGAGCTGCACTGGACCTCTATTGCTGGGCCAGGAATCAGAGCTTATCCCTCTGGCAAAACTTGAAGGTTTTGCCCAAAACAAGAGACACCTCAGGTCGTGCCAGAGCACACACGGGGAGCTGTGAGTCCCCACATCCCGTTTTCCTCTAGAAGGTGTCTTCCCTCCTTGAGCCACATCTCCTGTGTGGCCTCCTGAGAGTGGTGGTGCCTTGAATGGCTGAGTTGCCACAGCGGGGCCTGTGGATGGGGGAGCAGATGCCCAGGTGTAGCCATGTCCTTGCACCGCGTTATTTGTCACTCAGAAATGTCTTTCCCTGCTCTAATTGCAAAGTGAGCAGCTTCCAGCCCAGACAGGCGTTCACTTCCCGTGGCTAATGCTGCTCTGCCCCAGAGCATGCCTTGGGGTAGGCTCTAACCCAGCCAGCCAGAGGGCTCCGGTCAAAAGGTGCTGCAGTAGCCAAAAATAAATGCCAGGCCAAGAATTTTTTCAAGAACTTTTCTTAGCTACTTCACAGATAAAGTTCTTAACATGCTCTGAAGAAGAAGAAGAAAGGAATTTTAGCTGCAAACAAGTATTTTTAAAATCCTTACTTGCTTTTCTTTCTAGAAACCAGTTCTACAACGAGCCGCGCAGCGGCGAGCTCTCGGCGCCGGCGTGCGGGGCAGACGCCGCCCGCTGCCATCCTCCCGGCCACGCGCCCTGTCCAGCCGCCATCCCGAGGCCCTTCAGCAGCCCTGCGGCCAAGGGAACGCTGAAAACCAGCAACCTTCCCGAGGAGCTGCGTAAGTGGGTAGCAAAGGTGCTCTCTGCAGGGCTCTGCAGAGCAGCCGCGGGCAGGGGGGAAGGCCCCTTGCTGCACTGGCAGCAAGGCACAAAGGCAACAAGGAAAGAAAATGCAAAATGTCATCCCATCTGCAGGGCGTGGGTGCTCGTGTTTGGAGGAACGGAATTATTCCCTCCGATCCTGAAAAGATAATTGTCATTAATTGCTTGTTATGTTGTTTACAAAAAAACAAATACTGCTAGGATTGTTTTCCTGACTCCTTGTGTCCCTTTGAGGCAGGGGGCACTGAAGCTTACAGTAACAGACTAATAACAAACAAAGCCCTTGGGGTAAAATGTTTCTGCCTGTCCTAAACCAGACAAAAATGTCCAGTCAGTTTGCCCTGGAGCTGGTCAGAGGAGATGGATTTTGGGCAGGGAGCACTGAGGGCAGCGCAGGCGCCGCTGGTGGCACCAGCTGCAGCAAAGGGCTCTTCCTGCTAGGGGCAACAGCCCCGCTGAACCAGTCTCACCCTTTGGTCCGAATGGGAAACGAGGCTTGGAAAAACTGGCTTCCTTTTAAATGCTGTACTGGCTAGTGAGGGAAATACCCCCCACGTCTCCTCTGTGGTTTTCATTTGTCCTTTGCTCTTTGTTTTGTGCATCCCCTTTCCAAGTCCTGCACTGCAGTTTCCATCCTGAGGAGTGAGTTGTGACACCTGAGCGCGCTCCTGAACCTGCCCGGCTTTATCCGTTAGCGTGGGCTGGGTGCAGGAATTACTGGATAAATTTGCATGGTTTGTGACAGTCACCCGGCCACAGCAGATGAACCATCTGGCTGCTTCTGACCTATGAGTGTCTAATTCTTTAACGGGCACGAAACCTCCTTCCCCCGCACCGAGAGGCAGGGCCGGAGGGGGAGCTGGGCTTCCTGGCCATTGCACAGCCCCACGGCCACCCCCAAAACCAGAGCGGAGTCGAGGGCAGCAGCCACCGTGGGATGAAAGGAGAGCCCAGGCAGCCTCGCTCCCTGCGCTGCTTGTTTTGGTGCCCTTCTCATTCACCTGGACTCTCTCTCCTAGGCAAGGTCTTCATAACCTACTCTGTGGATACAGCCGTGGAGGTCATGAAATTTGTGAACTTCCTGCTTGTGAATGGATTTCAGACTGCTGTAAGTATCCTCTCCCGGGAAACCAGGAGAGAAGAGACACACAGTCTATCAAATATTTTTCTGTATCGCTGCATTGTAGATTAAATAAGATACAAGTGGAGTGAACTGGGCTTTGGATGTAAAAGTTGTACCTTAAATGATTTGACTTTTTCATCTATTCATGCTTTTTAAGTGAAATTTATATTTTGAAATAGGATTTAATAGTGACCCTGGAAATTCTATTTAGTGGCACCAGGTGCCAGATGGGCAATCGTATGAGTTTTTATGAGCTATTCCATTAATGGTGCTTCGTATTTGATGTACAGTATTAAAAAAGGTCAGTTTTCATGATCATCCCATCCTAGCTTCTTTTCTGAGATGCTGTTACATTGCTGGTTCTTCAAAGGTATGAATATCTTTCTACTAAAGACCAAACCTAAAGATCTAAACCCAATGTATTTCACACACCTTAATGAATCAGCCTGTCTTGTAGTTTCATTTGGTTGATTATACTTTTTAAAAGGATTCAGAAATCCCTGGAAAAGGTCTGTGTCCTACTGTCTAATCCCATAAGCTGTCCAGGTTTTCATTTAACTTTTGAGTTTGCTTCGTCACAGCACTCTCAAGGGGACCCAGCCACAGAGGCCCTCGGAGTCGGCGCCCATCACCAGCTTGGTTCATATTTCCCTATTTCAAGCACATGTGCTGTGTGACCCCTCCACCTTCATTCTCTGGCTTCAGTTCAGGAGAACATTTAAGCAAGTGGCTATCGTTAGACTGAAGGGGACTCAGTGGGAGTTTGGCACATGCTTATTTATTTTCCTGAATCAAAGGCTTTTCTTTTTTTTCCAAAGCCTGGAGTTATGCTCCTCTCTAGCAGTTCTTTACTACATTTGACCAATTCCTGAGAAAGCTATGAACACGCAGAGGTGCAAGGGTAGAAGGCTCCTTAAGAGCATCCTTGCTTAACAGGCAACTCTTGGAGATTGCTGCAGAACAATATACACAGTAAAATGCCCCCAAAACAGGAAAACAAACATGTTCTTTATTTTTGGAGAGGGGAAAAGGACCGTGACTCTTCTGTCAAAAGCTTGGAGAAGTTAATACTTACTCCACTGGCCATGGCCACTGACTGCCGTTTTCCTGGCTTCCAGCCAGCGCAGGAGGAGAGCCGTGTTGGTCATATTTGGTCCCGTGAGGTCCTCCGCCTCGCCCTCTTGCTGAAGGTTGCTTTGCTGCTTGCAGGATCAGCAACCTGGCTGACTTCCCACCACACGCCCTGAAAAGTTAGTGCAAGATTAAGCTAAAATGCGACACGCAGTATATGCTCTTGCAGCTGGAAGCTCTCTGATGCAGCCACTCGGGGTCAGCTGTGCAAATAGAGCAGGTGGGCAAGAATGCCTTCTTGAGGCATTAATGGAAGCAAAGGAAGCCAGTTTGTAAGCGGGGAATATCCAGTGTTCACCAGCAGCAATTGTCTCCAACCAGCAAATTCCCTGAGGGAGGGCTTCAGGGCTGCCCGGGCAGGACGGCCGGAACAGCTGCCTGCAGCTGCAGGAGCCCAGAGGGCTCCTGGGACGGCCGCCTGCAGCTCCGCATGGTGCCGTCCTGCTCAGTTATGGAGCACAGGGAAATGGGGTGGAATTGTGGGGTGGAATTGTGCATGTGCACGTCTATGTGGGTGGGGATGCCCCTTTCCTAAGGAAAACAGGCATGGATGTCAGGAGTTAGGGAAAAGGGCTGGCATCCGAGTACCTTTTTGGAGCCATGGCCTGGGGGGAGAAGGTGGCTGCTAACCACAGAGTGGCCCTCTCTTGCAGATTGATATATTCGAGGACACGGTACGAGGCATCGACATCATTAAGTGGATGGAGCGCTACCTAGGTGATGTATGTAAAGACAATTTCACCTTGCTCCCCGGCAGAGGTGACCTGGGGAAAATTGTCAAATTATTCAAATAGTAACGGGAGCAGACTCAAAATGCAAGATGTGCCCTTCCCTGCCCCTACTGAAACAGCAGAGGTCGGTGGTAGAAGGTATAACCAAACCGCACTCACTTCTGCTTTGTACAATCCCAAAAATCTTTCTTTAAGAAATGAAGTGCTAATCTGGCCCTTTCTGACAAATTCCAGTGGTGGCTGCCGTTATATTCAGCCTGAAGCTGCCATTGGTTCATCCGTCTCATTTTTCAATAGTGTCTGTTTTTACCCCTGTATGGTAAAATAGAGAGATATCTGTGTTTCATCCCAAGCTGCAAAACAGCAGCAATGTCTGTCCTGCTTCTCACCTGCAGTTTCTGTGTTGCTGGTTAAAATACTGGTGGGTTCTTCTCTCACTGACCCCTGGAGAAGCTTGTCTGCCTCCATGGACTGCCTGTGGAAGCAGTTTCTCATTTCCAAACCTTTACGCACACACAAGCAGGGGGACGGGCGCAGCTGAGCCCGGCTCTGCAAGCCCTCAACATCTGTAAGTGCTTAGTGTGCGTCAGGCGCGAGCACCAGCAGCTCTGCAGTATGTTAAGTCAGTGCAGGGGATGGTGCTTCCTTACAGTTTTTGACCTTGTAGTGGGGCAAATTCCCTTGATATTGCACAGAAGGAAAGAGTTAATTAGGTGCCAGGATGACTACAAGCCACATACTTGGAAACCTTGCACAGGCTGATGTGGCAGAGATGAAAGACAGGCCCTAAGAAAACGCAAATAGGAGGCTTTAATCTGTGGAACCTCTTCCCTGGGCCACCATAAAGGAGGAGGGAGATTTCCCGGATACGAAGGATGGCCCCTTGGTGGAAACCCGAGATCAGGCAGGGCCCGGGATTAAAGAGGCCGCCAGCGGGATCGGGATCGTGGCTGAGCTGTGGGGAGAGCGGCGGCGCCCTGGGCAAGGCAGGAGGGAGGCAGCAGCTGACCCCAGGCCCCCGGCTCCCACAGTTCTGTTCCAACCCACGGTCCCTCTGCTCCCGCCTGAGGGGGCAGCCGTGATGGCCCTGGCCCTGGGGCTGGCCCTGCCTGCAGCTGCCACAGACACAGACACTGTGGGGCTTGCAGGCGCCCCACAGGGTTACACGTGAGCCGTTGGAAAACACTTAGGTTGGAATTTGAGGGTAAGTTTTCTGTGTATGTACATATGCGCTCTCCACTGATGAAAAGTAGCTTTTTATTAGAGGGATTCCAACTGCAAACTGGTAGCTGTTAATATATCTCTTGACATTTAGATATTCTATACTGTGAGATCTCGAGAAATAAAGAGGAAAATGAGTGTACGAGTTCTCCTGCATTTCCTGCCAGAATGAATGAGATCCTCTCATGTTTGCCAAGAACATAAAGATCACTTAAAATACAAACTGGCAGATTTCCGATCTGCCTCTACCAAACATGCTGCACTTCCCAATTTCATAAAAGTGCTTTTCTCCCTAACAGAAGACCGTGATGATAATCATAGCAATCAGTCCAAAATACAAACAGGATGTGGAAGGGGCTGAATCCCAGCTGGACAGGGATGAACATGGCTTACATACTAAATACATCCACAGGATGGTAAGCAAGGACATGCACTCGCCGGTTCAGAAAGGCTCTGTCTCTTCTCCAAAGACAAATCTGTCTCCAAGTGGCAGGTTCTGAGCTTTGTTTTCACTAATCCCCATAGTTAAACACCCCCCTTTGGATTTCATTAATCCTCCCTCTCATCAGCTCTGTGCGCTCATTAACATCTGCTAAGAGGTTCAAGAAAGAAAAATCCTATTAAACACGCTCGTCTTATTCCTCCGTATTCTTTCTTATCCCATGTTTTTCCCTCCCTCACCTTCCTGAGCCCTTGCTGCCCTGTCGCGTAGCCCTCAGCACGGCCTTACCCAAAGCAGCCTGACTTAGCTCCTTATAAACCAGTCCCCATCAGCCAAGGGACAGGCAGCAGCAAAGGCAGCTGGAAGGTGGCACTGCAGAGCCCACGTGAGGGCTGCACGGGACGGGCCCCTGCGGTGGCAGCGGCGTTGGGGGCCCGGAGGCCGTTCTCTGCCGCCAGCCCCAGGCTGGGCATGGAGTCCAGAAGAGCTGCCGGGATTGTGAAACTCATCACTTCTCCCCCAGTTCTCGCTCTGTCCCATTTCTCGCCCCGTCTCCTGCCAAACCCCGGCTTATCCTCCCGCTGAACCTGGTGAAGCCGCGGCCAGCCCAGCCACCCCGCAGCACCGGCCGGGCCTGGCACCGGCTCCCGGCCTCCGCCTGGGACTTGTTGCATCCCTGGGGACTGACCCAGGCCCTTAGTCGGGTCCGGCTTCTAGATGGCTCTCATGGGACTGCAACTGCAGCGACACCCACAACCGGTTAGTCCTAAAGAACCGCAAATGCTGCAGAAACGCTGACAAACCTGGCCTGTATCCGCTCAGTAGGAAGGAGGAATCAGGTAAACGGCCCAACAAAATGATACCTAGAGCCCACCAGCAAGAGAGCAAAGCACTGAACCGAAGAGCAGTTTAAGTCAGCAGTGACTGCTTTTAGGTATTCAGGATTCAGATGCATGTACAGAAAAAGCAATAAAATATTAATCACAATAAACACGATGATTTGTTCTATTCTAGATGCAGATTGAGTTTATACAACAAGGAAGTATGAACTTCAGATTCATCCCTGTGCTTTTTCCAAATGCGAAAAAGGTAACATAAAAACATATATATATATTTGTTACATAATTAAGCATGTATGATTTGATTAGAGTTCACCTGATGAAATTTTGAAGATGAAAATCTCAATTTCTCAGCATTTAGTAGCCCGCTAGTAATACTTCAAGCTGCATTTTACGTGAAAAGTTTACCGTTTTATGTACAATAAATAAGGAAAAAACACCCACCATGTAAATATCAGTACATAGATGTATTTTTCATGACGAGGGTATAACTAAAACTCATATTGTCTTGAGCACTGAAAGAATTTAAATGGAGAGAGATGATCTACCCAGCAGGCATGTTTTTTATATTAACCCTTTATAATTTTGTGCAGATGTAATGTTGATGAGTGTGATGGGGGGGATTTATGACTGATGTGAAGTGAGGATCTGGAAGGGGGTGGCTTGAGAATATAAAAATAGAGAGGACAATAAATACTAAAGTACCGTGCTGTTGCTTGAACTTTGATGGGCTCATCAAAGGCAAACTCTAAGGGTTTTTAGGACTTGCAATTTCATCTACCCTCCTTATTGGTTTTGTGGATTCATTTGAGAATAAGTAAGATGACTGAATCCCTTACCTTTCTTCCTCACGCTGGGAGAATCTCTTGGATTTTTACATGGCTGGAAAAGTTAAATGGCCTCATTTTTCACTTCCCCCAAACTTAGAATGGATGTATTATATTCACATTCACTTTTCATCGTTAAAGGTTGTGTGCTCTGCTTGGTAGCTGTCATGTTACCCCAAGGGACAGCCACATTTTGGAAGAGGATGGAAAGATTATTTATATTTATTTGGGTGCCCAGCGTTTGGAAACTAAGCCGACATTTAAACAACTCTATCCATGTTTTGTAGGACTGTGAAGTCCCATAGCACTTGTGGATTTTAGTGCAAAATTCTTTACTTAAGCACTGATTTAGTATCAGTCCAGAAACTTGAAAACATGTCCCTGGCTTTGTAAAATATGTAAGATTCCTAGGGCTGAATGGTGGTGCCTCTGGTATTTTATATCACTCAGCTTTCTGAATGACCTTAGCACGAAGGAGGACGATCTGTTAGTTGCCTTGAGTAACTGGGAACGGGGCAGTGCCCTGTTGTGTGTTGTTAGTTGCCTTGAGTAACTGGGCGGTTGGGAACGGGGCAGTGCCCTGTTGTGTGTTTTCCGGGGGTCTTCAAGCTTGAGCAGGGGCACAGGGCAGGGCTGCTCCCACCCTGCGGTGCCCCTCGAGCACCTGCGGTGCAAACAGAGCTCGGAGCCTGCGCAGCACGCGCAGCGTGCAGGGAAACGGCTCCGCGGGCACCAGCGCCTGCTCTGGGCCTTGTGGCACGCACAAGAAGAGTAAAATTAGGTCAATTTCAGGCTAGACTCTGTGTATCAAAGGGCTGGTTAGCATACAGCAGCTCGCAGGCAGGGATCTATAAGGAACTTCCAGGGCTGGTTTATTCAGCTGCTCTTGTCAAAGCAGCCGTCTCCGAGCAGCCTCCCTGCTGATTGCTGGGCAGCCCTGGTCTCCCTTCAGTTTCTCAAGAGGCTCCTTCCTCGCCTCACTTACGCAGCTCAGCATTTCTGTGACTGTTGCGATTTGCTCCGTTTCCTCATTTCTCTGGTACATCACCGACCCTCATCAGGCTGGTTAATGGTAATTTAACTGAGGATATCCTGGGTGGAAGGAGAGCCCGGGCAGGCTGCAGTAGTGAAGTCTGCAGGCATCTCAGAGGAGATGAGGTATCAATGCCTCCAAAACTCACAACTATCCTAGGGATGCAAATATGATATAGAGGTATATATATATATGTATGTATGTATACATAAAGTTTTGGTCTTTTTTACACTCTCCTTTCTGTCTGTGTTGAAGTACTACAGTATCTGCACTGGAAAAATGCAGGGATTGAGGGAAAGGTTCAGAAGGTTTCATCTGGGGACATGATCTTAGACGAGTTAATCCCATCAGAAGGAAGGTAAAGCACTGCGGGTACTTGAAAGAGAGTTGACCTCCAAGGAAAAAGGATCTGTGCTAGCTGGCGAGTGCTCACCAGGAAACTGAATAATGAGAGGAAAACCCATGACCAGCGGTTAGAGAGGCCCTGGCACTTCCAGCCTCACCCTGAGCGCGGGTGAGAGGCACAGGGTACCCCCATGCAGCCGCACAGAGCCGCCGCGTCCTCCTGCGCTGCCGGCCTGCAAGCTGCCGCGCGTCCCGTTTTCCCTCCCTGCGGACACATATGGGGCTGGATTGAAAAGAACTGAAGGGGCTGGAACCATTTTCCCCCTCCCTCCCACCTGCCTGACCCGCAGCCTGCCCGTGTGGTGAGGAGGAGGCCACGGCTCCCCCAGGTCCCCTTCTCACCTTCCTGCTCCCCTTCGGGTTCAGAACAGGCCTCCTGCATTCACCTCCTGTCCTACTCACCTGCCCAGTTTGGAATTATCACCAGACTTGACTAGCATCTGGGTACTTTTTTGGCTAATGAAAATACCAAACAGAATTTGCCCCAGGAGCAGTCCCAGAGGGAACCCCCAGGCACCTTGTTTTGGGTCGGCAGTACCGCTACCAGGAGGCACCCGCGTGCTCATGGCACGTTTCTCACACTAACTTCCATCTTTTTTAGCTTACCTAATCATTTCCCAAGTGGACTCATGTCAAATGCTTTGCTGATGTCCAGACAGGCCAAGTCTACTGCACTTCCTTTCTCCAAAAAATGTATTTTCTTATCAAAGACAGATAGAGGGTTGGTTTGGTAAACCCATGCTGTACTTTTATCACATTTCCTTCTGTAGCTCTTAACGAGATCTATCAGACAGACAACTTTTATGTAGTGAGGTATGTGTGCATGCAAGTGTGGGCCTGTGCATGCAAACATATTTGTCTGCTCCTCTCTCTCAGAAATTTTTGAATCTCTTGGCCAATTTCAAACAACGTTGTCAAAGGAGCAAAGTTCACAAAGATTAAAATCCATTCCTGTAAGATTAGTGAAGACAGACTTACAGGCAGAGGCAAGAAATCCTACTCACACCCTTAGCAAAGGAAACGCTGCAGGAGCAGCACTTTAAATCCTCTGCTTTGGGAAGACCCTTTGTTGAAGTCCTGGACTCCTTGGCCAGGGGAGAAGCCGGGGCACCAGGCACATAGGGCACTCATAGGGAAACGCGGTAAGTCTGACAGAGCAGCAGCCGCCAGCAACACGACCAGTGGCAGTAGCAGGAGCCATGAGGCCGCAACCTCCCGCACCCCCTGCGCCCCAGGTTGGTTACGCTGAGGGCAACAGCAAAGCTCTCGAGTGGCTGCATCTCCTCCGGGACGTGGGCAGTGCCGGGTGTCCGACCCAGCGCGCCGCTCTGGAGGTGCATCAGCCGCCAGCCTCCTGCTCAGGGGAGGGCACCTTTCCTGGCAGGGGCACCAGTCTCCCTTCGCTCGTCAGGACTGACTTTCACAAGCCTTTAGATGCCTGTCTTTGAGATCCAGATTCCCTGAAACACGGCTGAAATTAGCCAGCATGATGACAGCAGGAGAAAGGGAGACAGACAAGCTGTGAGATCACACCAAGTTCATTTCTTTAGGAACCCAAATACAATTTTGAAGCCAAATTAAAATTTCTTGTTGTTGTTACAGGAAACATCTCGAACAGACAAAATGAATGCTTGCTTGGCAGAGTTTAATGGAATCTGCAGGGCTCTGCTACAGATTCTGTGGGATTTATGGGCTTCCCATTTCTTTTCTTCCTCATTTTTCAGGAGCACGTGCCCACCTGGCTGCAGAACACGCACATTTACAACTGGCCGAAGAATAAGAAGAACATCCTCCTGCGGCTGCTGAGGGAGGAGGAATACGTCGCCCCTCCAATCGGACCTTTACCAACGCTCCAGGTTGTGCCGTTATGAACATTACTACTTAAAGCACATGACGAGCAGTTGTTAAAGGGTTGTTCTTGGCGGGGAGCCAGCACTCTTCCAGATGGCTCTTTCTGATGATAGAAGATACTCTTTCTGCTAAAGGAATTAGCTGTCCTGGGTAACTCAGGCTCAGCTTGTTCTCTACCACGTTAAACGTTTCTTGCTGGAGCTGGTGGGCACACTCCTTTCTCTAGATTTTTTTTAAACAAGCTGCAACTGGAAAGAATATCCAGTTTTATTTTAACATCTGTTTTTAGCATATTCCTTTATTGGTCAATATAGCAAACAAATACCAGAAATAATGTTGCAATAAGCGTAAAATAAAAATTGCATCCTCCTTTTTGCTCAGGGTTTCTTTACAGACATTCCTGCCTTGTACAGCATTACCAAACAGCTAACTTGTGTGTGCACTATTAAATACATCCCCCTTTGCTAAGGCTGCTTTAGGTATTGCTTCAGTTTTTGCTGGTGCAGTGAAGGTAATGTGCTTTCCTCGGAGTGTCCCGTGCAAAGGCCCCGTGCTGGATTCGGGGACTCCCAGATGGGGATGCTCCCGAGCTGGAACGCGGCGGCACAGCCCCTGCAGCACAGTCTGCAAAGGGCCCCGCCGCGGGGCTGGGAGCTGCGGCGCTCACGGCGGGCCCTCAGCTTCCCTGCTGCTCTCCATCCCTGACTGAACACAGAACGTGCCAAAGGACAACTGCCACTTGGGAACAGCGGTTGTTCGGAGAAATGGCATCGGCTTCTACAACTTGCATGTGTCAGGGAACAATAAAGTAAGCAAAGCTGTTGGGCAGCCATGGGTGTTGGCAACCAGGAAGGCTCAAAAGCACCAGCTCAACTAAAATTGGGATTTTTTTTTTACACGCAAAACACTATTTGGGATAGGTTTGAGGTTCTCTTGCTGCTTTAACCCTATCCAGATAACACTTGGTTCCTACTGGCTTGAAATTCTGCAGCCCTTAGAGTAGTCACATGAAAATATCCTACTGTGGCCTGGAGAACTGGATGCACGCTCAACACGGGCTCTATCCAAGACCCTCTTCAACTTTATTATTCGTTACGGAATGACTCAAATACTGCTTCGTTTTTAAAAAAAATGTATTTAGTGGTCCAAAAAATAAACTAACTCAAAGGTTGGTATTCCTTTGACATTATTCAAAATATTTAGCTTTCCAAGAAGGCTGTGCTC